GTGTCCGTTGGCTGTGGAATAGTATTCTGGCTTCTCAACATATGGATTGGGTGTTGCCTAGACGTATAGAGGACGTGTTGCAGGCATGGAAGAGGAAATTTCGTGATAAGGATAGCAAGTTAGTCTGAAATCTTATCCCGGGATGTATTGCATGGTGCATGTGGAGGGAAATGAACAACCGATGTTTTAAAGACCAAACACGGACTACAGAGCAATTTAGAGAATTATTTTATCTGACTTTGTATACTTGGTTTAATGCAACGGCTAGTAATCCTTTAGAGGGGCTGCCTAACTTCTTATCTTTTCTTTCTTGTTGAAATTGATAATACACTTCCTGTGTATTCTTTTTTTATTAATAAAATTTTACGATTATCTATCAAAAAAAAAATATAAAGGAACTCAAAAAACCACGGCACATTTTAAATCCAGTTTTGGATAAAAAATCAAATTTAATTCAGACATGCAGCAGTAATGGTGTGGACCCAATATCAAAAGAATCAGACCAGTCAGTTTGGTCCAGTTACTTGAAAAGAACGACCATAAACAAAACTGAACAGTTCACTGCAGTTCTTACGTTCACAACGCAGCACCAAGAACCCAACCAGTTACCCTGGGCAAGAGGAAGAACTAGGGCTTGTTGCGATGGTGTTTGGAAGCTAGAGTAGAGTGGGAGATGGAGGTTGACAAATAGGTCTTGCAAGAAGAGGATTGGATTGTGTGATGGAACTAGATTGTGTATGCATTTTACGGGAAACTTAAAGAGCAATACTGTGATTTGGTTAGCCAACCTAGAAAGAATTATAGGCTCTTTAAAAATCGCAAGGCCGACTGAACTTATTTGGATAGAGCTTATTTTTAAGTCTCTAAGCTCTTTCCAAAAAAATTTACCAACCAGAGCTTTATAAGAATTTTTTACCCCCCGCCCCCAAAAAAAGGTTTATCCTACAACCCGATTAGTAATAGATAAAATTCAGGAAAATAGATGCAATTTATTCCTCTTCTCATGTAAGTGACTATTCCCTTCATGGGAAAGCAACAGAAATAAAGAAATATATAACAAGCAGGCTAAATAGGATAGAACATAAGTACAAACACATGGGGCCATGGGGGTAGCTTACAACATCAGATTGAATTGTTAGTGAGCTTAATGAAAAAGAAAAGAAACAATGCACAAGTTAAGAAATGAAATTCAGCCAGCCAACATAAGTTCTCACCAAGCTGCAAATCGTGATCATCGGCAGCTGCTTCTGACATTTCGGTATCCCGCGTAACAACAGCAGAGGAAGAATCATCCATAGACATTGCAAGAGCCTGCTGTAACAATGCATTTTCATCATCCTGAAAAGCAAGAAAATTCATACGTTAACTGTGTTCAGATGTCATCTCCGCACCGGCTTGCACACTGGAAGCAAGAATGAAATGTGGAAGTTCAGAAAAT